CCTTGACAATCTTGCTCCTGTATGATGGTGGAAGCTTTGGTTTCAGTAGCACAGGGCAATGAATCATCAGTTTTGTTGTGCTGACTTTGAAAAAATATATAACTATATATTGCATGAAGAAGCACATGCGTTCTTCCTCTTCAGGAAATCAAATTAAGCAGGACTCACTCACGTGTTGTCTAAAAGGCCCATTTTTCCACAAGTCATTTTTTTCCCCCAGGAGTAGCCTCTACTTAATGCTAGGCTTTCTCCTCAAATATCCCACCTCTATCATTTGTCCAGGCCAGCTCCCTCCTATTCCCAATTCAATCATCTGAATTATATCTTGAGCTAAATAAGACATTTTTAATGTCAAGAACAGCCTGACAGTTTAATGAGTGGCAAAGCAGGAACTCTTCAATATTTCTGCTAAGCACTGTAATTCAACAAACATTTGCCATATCACACTAAAATTAGTTTGTTATACTTGATTAAAAATAAAAAACCGACTAAACTTAGATACATAAGCAATGAAATGGAACCAGTAGAAACCAATCTCAGTTTAGGCTCCGGTGACCTAATTGCCTTTAAATATCTAATATTCTTTTTCTAAACTTTTCTCAGCTCTCACACTTTGGGGAGAATGTTTGGAGAGAATATTTGAAATATAAATATGTATTATTTGAAGTATACATATACTGACTTTCTCCTACAGCTATAACCCCAACATCCAATAATTGAGGATGTTTCCAAAGGAGAATGATTACAATTGTCTTCTATCTTTGGGTCTCATGTGAACTGCCATCAAATAGCCTGCTGTTAATTATTAATCCAGTTATTTCTGTTTCTCTGTAGCATAAAGTGAGAGAAAAATGCTGTTAACCCATTTCTCCTCTAAAAGTCAACACTAAAGGAAGTTCTAAGAGCATTTTTTCCTTAACCTTTATTCTCATACCCAAATGAGTTTATTGACTTTAAAACCAATTTCTAAAGATAGGCCCTCAAATGATGGTGGAATAGATATCTCTTTCAATTGCCCCTTAAAAATCTGTTCATCTGTTCATAATGCAAATTACTTTATTTCATATCTCAAAAACTTCTTGGATAACCAGATAAGTTTGCAAGTAGGACATGAGCGCTCCCGAGAATTCTCTTGGTATACTGACATTTATGCATTCTTATAGACAGCTAAGAATATGAGATTTCTTCTCTGCTTAAAAACCTGCAGTGGGGAAAGAAAGGCTGTACCCATATCTCAAAAACAAAATCTCACCTCCAGGATAGCACAAAAGCCTAGATTTCCAGTGTCACTGTCACTTCCTTATTCCCTGGGCTCCCCTCACAGCAATTCACGTGCCACCACTGAACACAAATGTCTCCATTCCTTTCCATATGTCCCCTCTGCCCCCACTGAGAACATTCTTTCCTAATGATCCTACAAACTCTCTTTAAGCATTACCTCCTTTATGAACATAACCCTCAGACATCATTAAATGGTTTTAGCCATATTATATATATAATGATCACATTACTTATGACACTATAGCATAACTGTTAGTTCAATTGCTGTTCCAACTTAAAAAAACTATAAAGTAATGAAAGGCACCTTCATCATACCAGTGTCTAGTACACAGCCTAAAACATAGCGGGCACTTAATGAATTACTAAAAAAATTTAAAAAAAAAAGACTGATTTTTCATCCACTTTTTACTCACCAAATCAATATATTTATAAACAATATAAAGACCCAGAAGAGAGGAACAACATTCACATGGCTTATCAAAGTTCTATACAGGTCAAAATTAAAGCCTGCAACTCAAACATATGAAGTCTCCATATACTACTTAGACCCAAAATACATTAAGTCTCCATATACTACTTAACATTCCAGGACGCATTCCCTTCTCTGACCATGTACTTCCTTAATGTCAACTCTGGGCCCAACATGATAAAGATGTAGGACTTTTAAGAACTACTTAATCTTACTGGAGTGAAGGAAGCAACTAATGCATTTAACAACTCAAAGCTAAACTGTGTCCCATCCTTAAAAGAGCTGTGTCTATTTAATGCCAAATAATGAATCTGAAATAAGAAAAAAATTCAGGAAATGTTCTTCTTAATTGCAAGCACACCAATACCTTTCCCCAGTTTTTTATTTAGGTTTTTTTTTTTTCGGAGGGGGGTTCCTCACCATATAAATACATTCTATCTCTATGTCATTTCACTTCATATTTGTTGATATTTCAGTCTCCAGGCCATGTTTTCATGAATGGAAAATATCTATGTCCCAGTCTTTATTAGATTTTGAAGATGTGTTCTTTATTTCAATGCTTTATCTCCTGAGAAATGATGTTTGAATGCAGGCTGAGTGGTTTTAATTTCATTTGAGAAAAGAGCAAGAAGAAAATGGTCTCACCAAACCAAACTTTTAGACTTACAGGTAAGCATCACTCTTGCTGGTATTTCTGAATTATACATGAGAAACACAATTCTCTCCACAACAATAACTGGTAAACAAAATCATAAATACTCTTCTACATTTTCATTCCCAATTCTATTGGCTTGCCTACTATTACAGGTAATGCTTCTCATATTGATTGTTACAGCACTATTTTGGCTGCATTTAAAACATCACATGAACACTGAACAAAAGAACTAGGTATATATGCCATAGGTATTATGCCATTTCTATAAGCACCATGAATGGAGGTTAAATGGGGACTGGGATGTCTAAGTTACTAACAGAGAATTCTACCTCAGCATCCAGCCTATGTAAGAGACTTGGAGGCACTTGGGATAGAATTAGCATTCCTTTAGGGTTTTTTTTTTCCCCCACATTCTGGAATTTAGATTCTATTTTATTCTATTGCATGAGAGACCTATGAAATGGGTCTTGGTTTGGTGTTTTATTTTGGTTTTGGTTTTGGTTTTGATTCATGGGTGGTGATGGTAGTGTTATCCCCAGAGTTGTGTTTCTCTAAGATCGGGTTCTTGAAATGCAGAGCAGCAAACTCAGAGTGGATGGTGGGATTCTATAGGGAAGAAAAGTCAAGCAATTTGACTCTAGAGATTGAAGAGAGTATCCTAGAGTCTGAGGAAAAATTAACCTGTGGGAAAGTCAATTGTCATTGAGAAAAGAGTTTCCAAAATCAATGCTATTAAAATTCCTTCTCTCTCTACAATCTAACATAAAAAAAAAAAAAACAATGTTCACAAAAGCTGAAATGCAAAACCTGTCACCAATTTTGGCCTTTATTTTTTTTTTAAGATTTTATTTATTTATTTGAGAGAGACACAGCGAGAGAGGGAACACAAGCAGGGGGAGTGGGAGAGGGAGAAGCAGGCTTCCTGCTGAGCAGGGAGCCCAATGCGTGGCTTGATGCGGGGCTCGATCCCAGGACCCTGGGATCATGACCTGAGCCGAAGGCAGATGCTTAACGACTGAGCCACCCAGGCGACCCTAATTTTGGCCTTTATTACTACATTAGCAGAAAAGGTTAGAAACATTTAAATCTGGCCTCTTTAATTGGGCAAACACATTCACTGGTCCCTTACAATAGCAATTCAATTGTTCTCTTATGTTTAACTTGAACCAAGAAGAAATTCTCATGTTGTCAGATGTGTCAAGGTATATCTATAAATGATAACAGTAGGAAATTAGGTGTTTATAAGAATAGAAAGTAATAGTCGAACAATCTTTCCTGTTCAGTTCCCCACAAGAGCAAAATAAAGCCTTTGTTAATGCCTACCAAGTTCGTAGTAGGCTATACTATGTCTTTAATGCAGTTGCTGACCCCTGAAAACCCTAGTACTACAGACAATAGTAAAAAGGAAGAAAGAGAGTTAGACCAAACAATTACCAAGGTCTGAAAGAATAATCTAGAGTTCTTTATCTAAATTCTGCTTTTCCAAAGTCAGAGAAGTAAGCATAGTCATGTTCTACCCTGGAATAGAAAATATGTAAACTGTCACTTTTCAAAAGTGACGTTAAATAAGGAAGAAAATTGAATGAAACATTGTAACTTTAATTGTTCAAGCAAACACTAAGGATTTTGTAAAGATCTATAAAGACTCTATGAGTGAGAGGGTGAATTATCCAAGGTTATGGTCGTAGACGCCTCTGGAATGTTGAGAGGCCATGTCACATAAACTCAAAAAAAAAGTACCTGATATGAAAAGCTTTATAGGGTAAAATGCATGCACTTCCATGCCAAGAAAGCTTGCATCATGCCTTTATAACCAAATTCTACAGTAGAGGATTTATGTACATACTCAAGAAAACATTCCCACCTTGACTACTTCTGCAGAGGGCACTGCTATGTCCTCTGATGCGGCTGGGACAGGCCACGCATTCTTCCAGAGCAGAAGCATTATTGCTCACTTTTGGCTTTCAATCAATAGACTTAAATAAATCTGGCCCAGTTTTTCAGTTCCTATCTGTTATCACCGTCTTAAACTCCGGAACAAATGGACTCCTGCTGAAATTGTACCTGCCTATCAGAGAGCCTAATGTGGAGAAAAGTTGTTTCTCCTCCTCTGCCTCCTTTCTCTCTGCCTTTTCACATTATTTGAAACTTGCCAGTAAAACTAGATCCTCAACATTTGAAGGTGACATGTCTGAAATTCCAACATTCACAAATTCATACAAACAACCTTCTTGGGAGAAAACGAAACAAAACAAAAAAAGAATGCTAATTCGTGACCAATTGACTCACTCCAGCCTACCAGCCCCTCTCAGCTGGTAGCATTGATTTTTGCTACAGCGCTTAGGTATATTTTCTCATTTAATTTTCACAATGATCCTTTGAGGCTGACGTTATTATTATTGCTCTTATTTTTACCTATTCCCAATTATTCCAAGTAGCAAAACTTAGGACTGATCTGCAAATTCTCGACAAAACAAATATTAAATCTGTGAGGGCTGAGGGTTCATTATATCAAGGAGAATATGAGGAGATGGTGTTAGAGTTGATTTCCCTTCCAATCAGCAGCACCATCTGTCCCTGGAACTGGCTGCCTACCTTCCTTGGCCTTCTGTGCGGTGGATGCTGGGGTGCTCTGGGCACAGTATACGTCCCGGGTCTGGATCCCACCTCCACAAACGGGTCCTGTCACATGCCAGTGGGGGTCCTGCTGCTCGAGGAGAAGAGAGACTTGGCATTCTTTCCATTCAGAGGTCCTCCAGGAATACCTGGATTTATTTAAAAGAAATTTGATTTATTTAAAAGAGGAAGAACAAGTAAGGAAAATATAAGATTCTAAAGAAAATGTAAGTCATAACATCAAATATATGCAATAATCTGTTCTTCTAGGGCCAAATCTTCACCTAAGGATAAAAAAGTCGATGGGCTTTGGGTACTAAATCCCTTCTATTTTCTTTTTTTTTTTTTTTTTTTTTTTTTCCCTTCTATTTTCTAAGGGGAAAAAAATCCCAGCAGCGTCTCATGGTAGCGGTATGGGATGAGAGGAGTGAAGAAAGGAAATATGGATAAACAGGGGTTGTGTCTCAGCCCTGAAGCCGTAAGAGAGCAAAGAATCTGAGGAAGAAGATGGAAGCCAGATGAGCCTATTCCGTTGCAGCTGACCTTGTCATGGGGTATCACTTCACAGACTTCTGGATGACTATGTGAAAGTCAGCCTTTTGAAATTAGTACAGTAGTAGTGTGTGAATGTGTGAAGTTGGGGAGACATGGTTTTAAATGGATAGAGATGACCAACTTTTCAACCTCCTTGATATAGGAAAGTATTTCTATTTATTTGACCCCATTGGGACGAAGCCACACACATTAAAAATGAGTTAACAATGTGTCACTACATTTAACTAATGAGTTATTTTTTATATATGCAGAACTATTGTTATTTAAACTGATTTAGGAATATATCTTCCTGGTTATAACTGGTTAAGATACATAGTAATAGACACACACACACACACACACACACACACACACACACATACACACACACACACAAGGAGAGAAAACACAACAGAGTTTGTACACAGCTTGCTGAAAACAAAACAACCATAACAACACTGCACTCAGACCTGGAGAATATTTCAGACAGAATTTCCTTTTGGGGGTTATTACAACATTCTTCAAGCCCACAGCATTAAGAGAACCCTACAGCATTCTCATAAATACCCATAGTCTCATTAACTTCTAGAAAAATAAACAAAACCTAAAAACATTCTCATAACTGCTGTCCCATTTCAGATTTGAGGAAAAATTCCTCAGCTTTGCGACTGCTTAAAAGGAAAAATAAATAAATAAAAATAAGTGTGTGTCACAAAAACCCTGGCCTTTCAGAAACTAGTGTAAACCTGAAATCAAGTCACAGACATCAAAATAAGAAAGCAAATCTCTAAGAAACCTAATAGTGATCAAACTCCTTCACAATGCACGGCACCACTCTAAAAAGCTTGAGAGCTGACAATCATAAGTCTTATGAAAATCCCATGGTGGGAAAAGGATTTGGACAATCCTTTGGGGTTTGTTGTGATACAACTGATCGCCCTCAGCTTCCCTACTTCATTTTCATGTGGTCCTCCAAGGCTGGAAGCTTAGTCAGTAGGCAGGGCAAAACTTCGGAGTGTAGGTCCTGCTTAGACAGGAAATACAGACAATAATCTGTTTCCAATTCCTGGGCGTGAGAGACTGAGAAAAATTTGGTTCTTCCCAGAGGCAGGCTTTCTCCAGAGGTCTGAAGCCTTTTCTCCTCACTCAAAGTTCTCACCCTGTTCTTCATGGTCACTCAAGCAGAAGGCTTGAGTGTCTCAGGGCAGGTGGCTCTGTATTCCAGGGCAAGGTGCAATGGGGTAAGGGTTTGTTGGGGGGGATGGTTACCAAGGGCTCACTTTGGACCCTCTTCCTCCACCGGTTGCCTAGCAGAAGAGCTCCCTGGCCATTAAGGAGGGGGTCAGATATAGCAACTGAGTAGGAAACTCCTATGATATAATTAGCAAATAAGGTAGGCAAAAAGGGGAACAGTGTAGTATAGACAACAGGCATTATTTTCAGCTCAATGGACCTATGCCCTACCACTTACTAGGCACATGTGACCTTGGCCCAGTTCTGTTTTCTCATCTGTAAAATGGGTATAATAAAGCCAAATGATGAACACAGCACATAACAAATGTTCAATAAATGCTAATTCCCTTTCTGCTTATATCTATCTACATGTACATTTGCTCCTTGCTTCCACAGAAAACACCACACACACACACACACACACACACACACACACACACACACTAACGTTTTATGTATGAGGATTTCATTGATTTCATCAAGTCCTAATGTTAGAGATCCAGGAATATCATGGCCTAACTTCCAACAACCAGAATTCAGCAAAGAGCATAAAAGAAACACAGAATTCAGAATTATAGCAAGTCACAGCAATTTGTTTCCTATTTTGAAAGGACTGGGCCAAGCTGTATAAATAGCTTTTTTAATTAATTTATTGTGACCCTAGAAGAATTAGCAAGGGAAGAATTTTGGAAGTCATTAGGGAGAAAAATGAAAAGTTTAATGACTATGGTTTTATATAAAATAACAAAAACCCTTTTGGTAGCTCATTAACCAACAACACCCAAATTCTATTCACTGGCAAATGACAAATTCTCTGAAGAAATATAAGGCATTTATCACTATCTCAATTGTTTACCACCTCAGAGAAAACACCTGCCCAGCAAGCAGCAGAGGGAAAATGCTCACCAGGAAAGGACTTCTATATTCCTTTTTAACTGCCCATCTTTCACAGTCTTTCCTCAACCTATTTATTTGTTTCAAAAGCATTACCTACGTTTAGTCACAAATCACCCCGCAACCATGAAACCTGAACATCCCGAACTCCCTCAACCTGGGAAAGTGTCTCCAGGGACTGACAGAATGAGGAATCAAAGGAGCCTTCTTGGCTAATGGTACTCGTTTTCTCCTTTAGAAGCTGTTACCGCAGTGGTCCTCCAGCCCCAGACAAGTTGGGTTCCTGACTGCCTGGGACATTCTCTTCAACAGTGAAGTCCCTGTCAAAGACCTTTTCCACCCTCTCTCTCCCAACTCTGCAGCCTTTCAACACACCCTCATTTTGTCCTTTGGTTAAGAAGGAAATATGGGAATTTCAAAGGCCAGAGTCCTACCTCCTGTGGGTACACGGCACTTTGAAATCCACTGTGGAAATGCCTCAAGTGTGTTAAGAGAGCCATGGAATGAAAGACATTACTCAGTGCTCATCCTACAAATGTGTAGGATCCATTTGCTTTTTTCAAATGTTCTGGCCGAACACAATAGTCAAGGATTAATTTATTTGAGCTCCTAGAGTATCATGACATATCCTCCAAGTAATAATAACAATAACCAATACCTTTTGCATGCCTACTCTGTGCTAGGTACTGCACTGACAAATTTAGGCATGTAACCTCATTAAATCTTCCCAAAACCCTATGAGGAAAGTATGATTTCCCCTTTTACAGATGGGATAATTGGAATAAAAAAGAAATAATTCTTCCAAGATCATATAAGTAATTGGAAGAGCAAGGTTCAAAGTCAGATTTATCTGACTCTGAAGCACATCTTTTTAATGAAATGACAGATAGATTAAAATAGTGAATGGCAAACCAAAGAAACTTGATCAAAGGATATAGAAAATAAGTTCAGTTGGCAATAGGTAGCTACCTGCCCAGCCATTACGAGGACAAGTAAATCTTGGTCTTGTTCTGAGGAAGTGTGCTCTGGACTGAAGCAAAAAACAAAAACAGAAACAAACAACAACAACAAAAACCTCCCTCTCCCTTTGTTGGTGACAAAGATATTGTCAGTGACAACTAACTGATAATATTTGACACTGCCAAAATATATTTTTTTCTTTCACTCTCAAAGAAAAAATACATTTTGAGAATATTTTACAGCCAATTTATAATTACAGCACTGTGGTTACATAGGGTCAAATTTAGTACTTTCAGTATATAACCATAAGTTAAAAAGAGAAATAATATATAAGCCAAATAAAACAGTCTCTAATTGTAAAAATTAAAATTCCCACTAAGAATTATAGAAGACAACTTTTTAAAGAGGCCTGAAATCAAATTCTCCACACTGCTCCATGGCGATTCTGAATCTTAGGTAAACTTGTCATGATCCATTCATGTGAAAACTCCAGTATGCCCACTATTAGTGAGAGAGCATACTGCCAGCCACTCTGGGACTCCCAACCTCTGAGAAAAGAAATGCTGATAACTCAATATTGAATACATAGTGAAAACAACTTATACAAGGGCATTTTATTTAACATGCAGATCTGTAAGAGAGACTGCAGGCAGGGGAGAGCTAAAAGACAGGACTCCCTAGAATGAGAAATAGGCCTGCCCAAAGAGTAAGTGAATCACTTATGCAACCACACATCCATTCATCCTTTCTTTCCATAAGTAATTCCTGAGCTCCAACTATGTGCCAGGCAAGATTTCAGATAACAGAAATGCACAGCAGTGAGCAAGACAAAGCTCCTGACCTTGAGAAGATTGCCTTCTAGTGGGGCAGACAGACAGAAATGCATCATACATAACATGGCATTAGATAATGAGGAGAAGGTGTTGGACCAACATCTCCTCACAACACACCAACCCTGTTCCAGCACTTAACACAGTTCCACAGAGCTATTTCGGTGCCATGACCGGGGATGTCTTCAGAATCCTGAAGAACAGGAGGGAATGAACACAGGAATAGGTGGGCAGGGAGCATTCTAGGTAGAGAAAGGCGCATGTCCAAAGTTCCCAGGGAAGACGAGTGTTTGGCACTTTCTAGGACATCACAGAAGCAAGTGTGGCTGGGCCAAGTGGGTCGGGAACAAAGGGAAAGGAAATGAGGAGTAGTAAGGAGTCAGGCTATAAAGAGCCTTGTAGGCCAGAGTTAGGACCGTGAGTGTAACTCCCTATGTGCTAGGAAATCATTGCAAAGCTTTGAGGAGGACAGTAATATGGTGTGATTTAAATTTTTAAAGGATCACCCTGGCTACTGAGTAAAGAACAGACTATGGGGGATGTAAAGAAGGGAGACAAACTTGGAGGCCTTTGCTCATCTAGGAGGGATGATGGTGGCTTCAGGTAGGACAGCCACAGCGAATGTGGTGAGAAGTGACCAGATTCGGGATATACTGTGGGGTAGGGACAGGTCTAATGGATTAGATATGGATGAGATA